GTCATTGTGGCTGAAAAAAGTCGCACTAACATTGAGGTGAATCATTATGACCCTATTACAATAGTTACTATTTTGGGTAATTTTATACTATCGCGGTCAAATCGTTTTTTGGCTCTAGAAAATCAAAAAATCATCCGATTTCGTTTTTTTAATTCTTTCACAGAAATCAACATAAAAAAAAACACATTTAGAAATTATAATTAAGATACAAACTAGGGCCGTTTAAATCTGAGAAATTAATATCATTATCATATTTAAATAAAAAAACTACAGCTTTTTCAATTTCCAGTCGATTTCTTAATTTGCTGTGAACAATTCCAAAGGTGGAAAATACTCTTTCCACAGTTATTTAAGAAGCTATCGCCCGAAACAATTGCTTCACTACTGGAAAAATTTTCACTATTCTTCTTCACTAAATATATTTTTCTGTGACATCCACCACTAGTGGTGTCATATTTTTTAATATTTCTTCTGCAAACATAACACTTCTAAATGGTTTGATTTTGATTTAAAATTTACTATCAATAGTAGCAAAACTGAACCATCATAGTAATTTCGTGCTTCCTCCAACGCACTTACTCTTCTTCATCTGTCAGTGTGAATTCTGTTTGGGTTGGGTCTAATAAAAATGCAAAAAAGTGACTGAGGGACATTGCTTACTTATATCTCCTTTGAAACTTCGACATTTGGCTAATATTTAATTCAGTTTCTTCAAATTTAGCTCCAATTTTCTTCCAAGCTGTTATAGTTAGTACAGTAGACATATTTGCATTATTTCTTTGTAAAGTAACAAATGTAACAGATATTCGCTTCAAAATTATTAGATAATTTTCCACTGACCTCTTTACGAACATATTTTAGTTAATAACAAAATAAGATCTATGACGTCCCTGTTCTCTTCACATATTTTAAGTAGCTTTTGTACAGTATTCCAACAAACATCTTGTAGCAGCACTAATGCTTTCCCTCCTTCAGCTTTGTACTAGATATTAGCTGCATGATTGTTTCGGAATTATTTTATTATATGCACAACATGCTCCTTTATACTGCTAATTTCTAAATCTTTGGAAAGTAAGTTCAATAAGTGTGCAGAACAGCCGTATGTGATTATTGTATCACTATATTTTAATTCCTTCCGCATTTTAGCCATGTTCGCAGCGTTGTCGGTAACAAAACTTGCAACATTATAATTATATTGAGACTTAAATCTTTCTATCAAACCCTCAGCAAGTTCGGCTAGGTATTCACCAGTGTGTGGCTTTCTTGTGGTATCTATCGAGTCAAAAAGAATAACTTCAGACTGCTCCTTCGTAATAGTGGCGCAAATAACCGGTCCATTGTGAACGTTAGCCCACCCATTTATAGACATACATATTCACATAACTACCATTAGAGAAACACCGTTCTTTTTCTTCACGGTATATTTTATCCAATAATTTGCCTGATATATCCTTCCGAGAGGGTGGGATGTACCCTGAGCGTAATAATGAAATGGCTTTTTTACTCCTCAATGTTCAATACTTCTGAATCTACAGTTTGTAGTAAACACGGCCTTTGCTATTGTCGCCCTAATGTTTCTTTTGTAGATTTTGGCGTTGTTACTATAAAGGAGCTTACGTTTCCAGATAGTTTCTTTTTTTTTTTAAGAGACGGTTCTGCGTCGTCGCCTTTTGCTAAAGAACTTGTAGATGAGCTAGGTTCGGAAAGTGAAGCCAATTCTGAAAAATAAATAAATAAATTGTACTTATGATGTTGTTATTATTTACACAGTTAGTACAATTAAAACAATCATGTCCACAAACATCGAGCAGTTAAAATTTTCCACTAATCATACTGCTGTCCACTGAATACGATCACCAAAATTATACAGAAAACCTGTATTTTTAGTTTTTTTTTTTTGTAAATAATAACAATAACTTACCTATAACCTCAACACGTCACTAGATTCCGGAATATTATTTGTGCACTTTTCGTAATGTATTTTCATCCTCGCAAACAGATTGAATTTCTTGTTTACATTTGTAGCAGGGATGGGAGATATGATAAGGATATAGAACGACGAGTGAATGCGGGAAATAGAGTAAATGGGGCCCTGCACTCTATTGTGAAGAGTCAAAATGTGTCAAAAAAGGCACGTATGGCAATTCACAATGCTGTGTTGGTCCCTACTTTAACGTATGGTAGTGAAAGTTGGGTGTGGCAGAAGAAGCACGAGAGTAGAATCAACGCAGTAGAAATGCGGTCCTTAAGGAGTATGTTAGGGTTGAATCTGAACGACAGGGTAAGAAATTGTGTAATAAGAGAAGAGTGTGGTTTGCATGATGATGTTGTGAGCAGGATTAAGAAGGGTATGCTTCGGTGGTTTGGTCATGTGGAAAGAATGAATGAGGAAAGAGTGACCAAAGAAAATTTATGATGCAGAAGTGAATGGCAGAGTCGGAAAGGGACGTCCTAGGCGAAAATTTATCGACCAAATTGGCGATTTATTGAAAACGGGCCAAATTAGGAGTACCCTTAACCGACGAGCATGTATGCGTAGGTGTATGGATGTGAAGGAGGCGAGAGAGGTGTGTCAGGATCGTGCCAAATGGAAGTCTGTAGTCTCTGCCTACCCCTCTGGGTGACAGGCGTGAGTGTTTATGTATATGTATTATGTTATTTTATGTATTTGTAGCATACAGCCAGTTTTGGTCGTGCTTTTTTCTGTGAAATGTTCCCAAATCCCCTCTCTTTGGCGAGGCATCTTTTTAATTTATAATAAATTGGTCAAGCACGTATCACAACAATAATAAGACCGAAAGTAAGACCGTAGTTGCAAGCGAAATGTACAAAACACTACACGGGGATTCCTCTTTTGCTTGGCAATCACATGTCAGACAAAAGGCAAATCCTAGCGCTGTGTCCACGCAATCCCTTGAGGGTGCGTTCCATTTTGCTCAAAAATGTAGTTAAATTAAAAAATTTAAAAAAATCGTGATTAATTAGGATTTTTTTAAAAATCGTGATTTTTTCAACCCTGCAAAGATGCAACAATTGCATGGGTGATAACTTTGATTAAACGAATTATAATATGTAGAAAAATAATACGTTAACCTATTACATAAAAACGGCGATTTCATAGGTAAGACCTAATCTAAAGCTAACACTCAATCTTAGTCTAGATGCTGATGACAATATCAATGTTTTCGTGAAAAAGAAACGTAAGCTTCAATTTGTTATTTAGGTAAGCACCTAAATAAAATTGAGTGTTTTTTATAGCATTGGGTGACAAACGAGCACACAGTCTACCTGATGGTAAGTTGATGCTGTGGCCCATAGACATCAACATTTATCCTCAATTGAGAATCTAAATGCAAATGCGTTGTCACCCCTGGTATTTTGTGAGAGCGTGGTCCTGCCCCGGTCGAGCCGACCCATTCATGCTACAATTACTATAATTTAGCTGCAACGTGGCTCTACCACTTAAAAAATGAATGTTTAATGTATACCAGCTTTTAAATAAATCTAATACGCTTTCAAATTGTAATAGTTTCACCAAATCAATTCAGTATTTTAGATTCTAGATATGATATTGTGATGCGCAAACAATCAGACATTTATTTTTGTAATATTTGTGAGAAAACGGACTAACATTGTAAAGGTTTGTTAATTCAATATATATAATTCAAGTGTTCGCCCCACGACATTGCCCGCGTCATACATTTTGTAAACGTGTTGTTTGCAGGAAAGCAATGTATCGATCCAATTTTCGGGTGGCCGTTACTACAACCTTCTTTTGGGAGTAAATCCGCGCCTGAATATATCCCTATGTCCATATGTATATCTTTTCTTTGGAACGCTCTTCCTTCTAAAATCAGAAGGGCCAAAATCCTTTCTTTGGTTTAAGTCCAGAGTCATCTCAGCTAATCATTTCAGCGCCCATAGTTTACTACTTTTTATATTACCTATAAATTACAAATTCTTTATATCTATTTTATATAATATGTGGTATAATATATGGACACTAAGTCCGTAGGATATCTTTATATTTATGTGTATCATAGAGCGACACGTGCTACCGGCGGACCGGAGGAGAGTAGTCATAGCGTTTTTTCCCCATACAGAATCATTTTTCGAGGGGAAATCTGCGCACATAAAAATAATAATCTGTCACTACTAAATTCATACATTACAGTGAAAACAATAAACTAACAATTTCACACAAACATTATAACAGTATCGCACGGTAAGAGCGACAACTCGGATACAAACTCGGATCTGACGCTCGACCAATCTGCATATTGTATGAGGGCGGGCGGCCATATATTGGTAAACAAATCTGAAACATACGACCGTATTATTATAATTTTTGACTTTGTCGGCGCGCATAAAATACCGGTTGGATCGAGAGTGAGCGAGAGATTGCGTCACTCTAGCGGAGAGTTATATCGGTAATGACAAGGTGGAATTGAGGCTATATCTGTAAAAAATATATCGAGAAACCCCACTCGTTTGTGATGCCTGATAACCTCCTGATATATTCTCGATATTTCCCACAAGTTTAAAAAGAAGTAAACAGCAATAATGTGATTAAAAATTACCTGTATATGAATGGTAACGCATCTTTTTATGTGAAAGGAGATCTGTGCTCAGTTGTGGGACAGTATGTCCCACACAGATCTCCTTACTTTACTTTTATTTACGTTACGTTACTTTACTTTTATTTAATATTTAGTCACTATTTTACAAGTTGTATAACAATTGACAATTTGATTGCAATTTGATAGCTTTAAAAATGATTTATTTGCATTTGTGTACCAAGTTTAAAGAAGTTGCTCAATGTTGTCTTGACCTTAAGTCAACAGCAAATCATTTGAAAAAAAAAATATACTTGTACTCAGTAATTTATCAACTTAACAATTTATTTTAATCAAAGTTATGCCTAAAATCGAATTGCTTGTTATCATCCCTATTATTTCTTATTTTATTTTATTATTAACTTAACACGTGCATATTTTTAGTTGGCCAAAGGATTCGTGGACAACACTATTAATCATGTATTGGACTCATGGTTAGTAGGTCATACACCAGCTGAAGTTGAGGCAAATAAATCTCTTGCAATTGATGTTGCAGACTTCATTAATAATTTACCAGAAGACAACAGCATTGAAAATGAAGGAATTCTCATGGCGATATCTGCACACGGTCTTCAGAACACTTCGAGTTCTAGTAGCTGCAACAAAGAAGACTTGTGCCCTCTTACTTCAGACAATGAACTTGATCCAGAATTAAGCAATTTACTCTTAGGTTTTGGTTCTGACTTACGTCCTTCGCGTACAAACAATGTGCGTAATCCAGAAGAGTTTATAGATTTGCCTTCAGAAGATGAATTTGGTGAAATTCCAAGCCCACCATCGCCGCTACCTGATGATGATGACGATAACGATGGAGACGAAGATGATGATAATTCACAAGGATTTTGGGAAGATGATTTTTGTAGAGATATAGACATAGAGTTAGCGACAATGTCAGAAGAGGCTATGAGACAAAATGTCGCTGATTTGACACATTTAGCTTTATTTCCCGATGGATCAAATCAAAATTTTAATGAAGATGGGAATCGTCAAACTGTCAATAGAAACAATGAAAGACTAAGAAATAATGATATTAATAATCATTTTGACTTCTTAGATGCAGCTGTATCATTTGCAATACAAAATAGAGGTTTGACATCCTATGGTACATATTATGGCTAGTTAATTATATTTTCTCAAATTAGGTAAAACGAAAATTATTTCATTATTCAACTAATGCTTTTCATAGAGACTGTAAGCACAAAAATAGTACATAGATAAAAGTATTAAAATTAGGAAAAATAACATGCACCAGGTTTACGACTGTGAAGTTAGCGTTTGTGAAACATAGGGCGCAGTTACGTTCGCTAGCAAAAATTAACGAGAAAAAATACCAAATATGTAGCAAATTGTACTTTATCTAGAGAATGATTAGAGGACGGAATTGAAACCTGATGCAATTGTATAATAGGTTTTGCCTGCGGCCTCGCTGATGTGTATGTCGCAATACGACATGTCGAAAAAACACAGCCAATATGGTTATTCCAGACGGCATTACTATGTAATTATAGAATTACGCTCAGATCAGTCTAACAGGAACCGTGCATTTTTCCGGGATAAAAAGAAAAGTTCATATGTAAAGTAGTAGTAAAAAGCCTCCATCACTCTCTGGCGCGTAAACTATATCTGCAAAAAATCATGCTGTTATATTGGCCCGTTCTGCGTGCAAAGACAAATCACAAGCACACGTTCGCATTTATAGGGTATGTTCCGAAATTTTTGATATAACGTATCACCAGTCTGGCGTCGGTTTATGACGTCATTTGCATTGGCCAGTATACTGTGTTCTATTTCGGAACATAGGTATCCATTATATTAGCATACTAACGACCCGCCCAGGCTTCGAATGACTGAGCTCACAAAACACCTTTTTTCTCACTTAAACCAACTTGTTAACTCCTTAGATCGCTATGAATTGTCAAAGTTGTTTAGCAAAATGTAGTTTGCTAAACAAAAAAACCGGCACGGAGAAAGGGACAAACAATCACACTGCTGTCTCATTTCTATGCAAGACGTATGCATAAATCTATCTTTTTCGTATGCGAATACGAAAGAAGGCGTCAATTTGTCTAGGTTTCTCTGTCTACGGTTGAATCAATTAATATCACGTCATTTAGAAAGAGAATCATCAAGGACCGCTTATTTAATAATTTTTCGATTTCGCAAAATAATCTAGTTTTGTAGGTGAAATATAGCCTAAATAACTCCTGGCATTGCTTTCTATCCGTTCGTAAAGTTTAATCACAATAGGTTTAGCCTTTCCCGAAGAGTTTATCGGACAGATAGATAGACAGCCAGAATAAAAAAAATTGTTATTCATGTCTCAATAACATGCAAATTAGAGACACACTTCAGTTTTATTTATATGTGCCTATAGATTAGATTGTATATAATATTATTAAGTAAAATAAAAGTATTTACCTATCAGTTGTATATTAAGTAATCACAGTATTCACATTGCATAACACTTCCTAAGTCAAGTTTGTGTCTTATATATTAATGCCAGTTTGTGCTTAGTTTATATTATTTAGGCTAATTACCACTTGAAATAATGAAACAATATTGATGTGATAACGGAAAAAAATTATAATTTGTTCCGTTACCTCATCAAATTGGATAATGTCAATGCAAGCGAATTCATATTAAAATGTTTTCGTTTTTTACGTTATCTTTTTCTAAATTCTGATATCGGTGATAGTTGCACCGGTACTAGTCTGGAAATCATTATCGTGCTATCTTCACCTCTGAAGTTTTATAAATAAAATAAACTGTATTTTACATCCACACGTATTTTACTAGGGATGCCTCGCGCGTTCAGTACAAAGCGTCGCACTTTATATATGTCATTTTCCCACAGGTCTTTAATTCGATTAATAACATGTAACGCATCTATAATACTAATAATTTGATTATAATAATTAAAATAATTCCTTTTTTTTCATGTAATATATTGTAAGCAGAGTAATTACTAAGGCTCTGTTGATTCCGCAGTAATCACTAACGTTTAGCAATGGTTTTCTTTTTTTTTTAATAAATATTTTAATTAAGTTTAAGTACTTTCAAGATTGTCTTTTCATAATATAACATGCTATTTGAATCGATATTAACAGCGTCGAAAGTAAAAAAGTTTCCGTAACGAAAACAATAACGGACATGAATAACAATGATCAAAAACAGATAATAAAAAACAAGAACGGGGAACCATAATTATTTTTTGACATTTGACCAATGCATTTTAATATAGTGTAGATCATAAATACTTGTAAAACTTAACCTTTCAGATCCAGACATGGTATCTGATAAATCAGACCTGTGGTCAAGCCAAGGTCAATTTTTTTTTGTAATAAACTACGTCGGCTTCGCGGATCGATGTAGTTCTTGACAAACCATGTTTAAGACGCTGTTACAGAATTATTTCATTTCTGACCTTAGAGTGCTTATAAGCAAGCTAGTTTGCTTATAAATACTCTAAGCTTCTGATATTTGTTTTACCAGATTTCTACCTTAAAGTTGCCATGTTATTTGAATCCCTTAAAAATGGGAGTATACACCCTATTTATATCTATTAATTTTATAATACTATGTTGTTTTTACTATGTTATTCTTTATTTTCTTCCGATTTTATAGGAAATCTCTGAGCTTTCGGAAAAATCATAGTATAGACGGCGTTCGAGCATGATACATCATTAAGCCAATAAGCAACCAATAATGCTACCGTGTTTTTAAGTATAGGTATAAAGTGCCTACTTCATAAAGTGCAGTGACCGCGGCTCAACCTCCTTAAGTTAGTTTCTACACCTACATCTATAGTCATGTTCTGCGACTAATTAGCTTGTTACCTAGCCAACTTCACGGCTGTAAATTTACAGTAAACGGCGATGACGCATGTTATTGGTTCTAATATAGATTCGTAATGAAATACATACGTCTCATGTTCTACAATTAACAGTATTCTAGTTTCAAATGTTTTAAAATTAAATGTACTTGTAATATCTGTCGGTTATTATTAGAAAACTCTAATTTTAAGAAGCTTTCCTAATTCGCAAATATGTTTAAATGATGTAAGTTATGTGGCTATAACTTGGGAGTGTAAGTACCTAAGCCATTTTATTAGATTTCTATAAAAATGTATGAACTATGTGATATCATTAAATGAATTCCTGGAGAGAATAACAAAATTATTTAAAAAAAAAAGTACAAATTTGTTAATGATATATCCATATCATATTATTATTGACTGAGTTTTATAAGTTAAGGAATTATGTTTCTAACAGTAAGACATTATTTTGTTGCCAATTCTAAACCTATTGCTGTATTCAGTTCTAAATGACGTTGTATATAGGAAGAGAACATTTTATTGTGCAATTTAGAAACTATCTGAATATAAATGCTTTTCAGTATAATAGTTTTAGGTATGAATTATATGCCATTATGACGTTATTGTCAATAAAGTTATATCTATTTGGTGTCTATATTTTAATTCTTTGTAAACTATTGAGGATATTATAGGTCGTATTCTCTTATTATTTTACACTTCTTATTTAGCCAGTCCTTGACTATTTTCCACCTCTGGGCGTATTGAAATTTTGGAGACCAAGGCGAAGCTGAGGCGAAAAGTTGTACAAACAAACGTATTTTGTTGGTTTCACGTCTTGTTTGATGTTGTTGTTAATGTCCTGCAGACGGAATTTCGATCAGGGCGGCCAGTCACAACAGATTACAGTACTGTGTACCCAAGCCGATGGGGCGGCAATCCGACTCAACAGGACAGAGATCAGGCGCAGGACCAACGGATTAACGTGCTTTTCGAGCCACGAGTGTAAAACACCGCTAACTTCCTGACTCCAGACTACTACTGAGAATTTCTTGACAAAAACTCAGTATTGAATAATCAGATTTTGGCCCGACCCATGTTCGAACCCAGGATCTCATGATCAGTAGTTGCTCTTACGACCACTAGACGAACGAGACAATAGATATTGGGTATGTTCCGAAATACAACGCAGTGTACTGTCCAATGCAAATGACGTCATGAATCGACGCTATCCTGGTGGTTAGTTCCAAAACGTTGGACTGTATATGACGTCATACTTTTGCGCCATTTGAAAAAGTGTTGGCGATTATTTTGTCATTTTGTGCTCCAAAAATCATTATACTCGTATCCTCCTAATGGATATACCATCAATTATTCTATAATTTTTTGTATTTGAATAAATGGAAACAAATTCTGGCATGCTTCATTCGGCAAACACACAATTAAAATTGTTTTATTGTGGCCGGATATCCGACACAATATGGCGGCGGCACGCTAGTACAATAAAGTGTCAAATGATGACGTCATTTGCATTGGACAGTACACTGCGTTGTATTTCGGAACATACCCATTGTAACATAATCAACTCATCAAGGAAAGATAGGTAACGTTACGGTAACGCACACACTTGTAGCACAATAATATCTTTTGTACAATCCTGAAGTTACTTTTACATGTAAATGCATCACAAATCGTAGCAAGCGCCTAGAAATCTAATCATTCAGGGATACGAGTAGAAATTACGTCTTCAGACTTTAATAACACAAGAAATTCATTTTTATTCATGGATGTTTTTAATTTTATATTTTTTGGATTTTGCATATCTAATCGTTAGTTATACTTAGGCGCTTGGAAAATAGCTCGAGTTGATTCATGTAAATATACAAAATGCCGGTGACGGCCTTTTCTTTTCCGAACTTTGTTGACGCACTGCCATCTGGCTATATACTGCATTAGCCAACTGGCATGCGTTTCTTGAAGAATTAAGATGGGCTATTGCGGGGAAGTGGGCATCACATCACGGTACGTACCGTGTACGGAGTACCTACTATTATTTATTCTGTGCCTTGGGCATGATGGATATGGAGAAAGAAGTCGTATGATAAAAGTTTTAATTGTCTTTGAAATTTTGAATATTAGTAATAGGTACCTTATAGTGTAGATAGACGGGGAAATTACATTATCTGAATGCTTACCATCTCATTATTTAGCTCGCGGAGTCAGCATTGCAGCAAAAAATTTTAGGACTGAATACATTGTTAATATTCAAGTCCAAATACTGCCTCTAAGCCTCCTCTGATTTTATCAC